TAATATAACATCAATAGCCAATATGTTTAGCAGAATACTTTACAAATAATGTCATATTTGTAATAACATATCACATGTGTCTGTTTTTTCGAAGAGTATATGTCAACAAAATTGTACATATAAATAAGGTTGTCATAAGCTGAACAATCAGACTTAATAAATGTATCAATCTGTGCTTACCAAGTTGTTCCATGTTGAATATAACGAAATCTATTGGACTAATCTCGATAAAAACTTGTTCTCTATCCCCTATAAGCCAAATGATATCCGAAATTTTATAGGAGTTTTCCTTGAGTTTTGTCTGAGTTATGTAAGTTATAGGTAACATCAATTCAGGATCATAATTAACGCGTGGAGTGCAAAATATACCCCACGTATCATAATTACGACGGATAAATACTTCAGGATACTGATTTGTTTCCATCCATTTATTCATTATTTCTCTTATTGTAAAGCCGCTTGATGGCTTTTGAGGATATATTTCTTCCAAAATGGTCCACAAGTCCTTGGACCTAATGATTAATAATGCAACAGATAGATTTTGTCGGCAGTCTCTGTTTCTTTAGCAACAAGCATACTATATTATTAAACAATTTATACGTATCATTTAACAATTAATATTACATCATTTAACCGTCCATCTATTAACATAATTTAAGAAATGTGCATAAAAGCACGAAAGAAATGAAATCACAAATATTACTATAACCAATTTAAATTATGCTCCAATAAATAGTCGCAATTTTTCGCAAATATATCATATAGATAATAAAACTTATAATGCATAATTAGTTTTCAAGTAAAATCAAATATCAATATATAATTAAAATATCACAATTTGTCACTCACCTTTCATCTATATATATCCTGATGGCCTCATCAAAAGTTTCTGGAGTGAAAATATAATACAGCATGCGAATTAGAGCAAATGCTACAATAATTCACACAATAATATATATAAAATTAAACGTATTTAGGATAATCTAACTATAATTAGTAATCATTACCTTTTTTGTGATAAAAATGGAATAAAGTAAGACGTCAATTCCACCGGAATGTTTAGCTTTATGCATAACAGATTCTGTATTCAACGAAACGTTATTATCAAATGTTGGCTGTATAATTTTCACTACGAACAATTCCATCAATCGGTCTGATTTCCATATCTAGAAATATGAAACTCTGATTAAAGGTTTACTACAATTAACTAAATAGAAATATTTTAATTTACAAAAAGCCTAAAACTATTTAAAAAACTATTTCGCCACTGACAATAATTCGATTATAAAAGATTATATATATTATAATTATGCACATACAAAATTCTCTCTACATATAATTATATGTAAATTATATTTATATAATAATACAGGTCCCATTTTAAAAAACACACCTCGATAATTCTTCAACGAAGCATTTTCAGCACAAATGTTTCGAACAAAAGTTGTATAATTTCAAGGGGGACATAAAACAATTATACTATTTTGTTTACAAATGGCACCATTTTCGAGATATTCACTGATCATTACTTTTCTTAAATAGAAACCCCAATATTTTATTATACCGTCTTTTCCAACCAATTAATTTAAACAAATTTGTCTGAAACATTTTTTTATTGGTCCAATATTTCTTAAGATATTTGAGGAAAGCTTGATACTTTTTCAATATTTAACTTACGATATCTCGCTATTTGTCAGAAGAAAAAGTAGTACTAGACTTTTCTGCTCTGTTAAATCTCAAAAATAGATTGTTACAATAGCGCCCTGACTTTTGTTAATTTGATGATTTTGAAATTTCCAAAAGTAAATTAACAAAAGTCAGGACGCTATTATAACAATATATTCTTGAGATTAAATAGAGCAGAAAAGTCTAGTACCACTTTTTTCCGACAAATAGCGAGATATCGTGAGTTAAATATTGAAAAAATATCAAGTTTTCCTTAAAGATCTCAAAAAATATTGAACAAATAAAAAAATGTTTCAGATAAAAGTTGTTTAAATCAATTAGTAAAAAAAGACAATATAATAAAATATTGGGGTTTCTATTTAAGAAAAGTAATGATCAGTGAATATCTCGAAAATGATGCCATTTGTAAACAAAATAGTATAATTGTTTTATGTCCCCCTTGAAATCATACAACTTTTGTTCGAAACATTTGTGCTGAAAATGCTTCGTTGAAGAATTATCGAGGAGCGTTTTTTTTAAATGGGACACCCTGTATATGTATGTCTATCCACGAAAGCATTTTTTCTCGATAGACACAGATATAATTATATATGGCTATATAGAGAGACAAAATTTTTACATGAACATATAGTCACTTTTCGTAGAGAAGTGTTAACAACTAGTGTTTAAATATTTTTACTAGAATAACGTGTTTTAAAAGCAAAAGCAATTTTATATTTTGATAATTCTGATAGCATAATATAACCTCATTTGCAGTAATGTAACTGTAGAACGAAGCGAGTATCTCGTTTATCCATATATGAGTAATATTTAAGTAAGGGCTCACTAATCCGACAAACACCTGGCGTGCCATTTCGTATACTATTAATAATGTAACATCAATACGTTTACCAGAAAAATCTAAACCTTCAACATAAGTAATATCTTTTTCCCTGTAAAATAGGAAGGAAAAATTATTATATTACCGAAAATGTCTTTGCCATCGATATACATGGTTTAAAGTATTCGTACATGTCACCAATTGAATTCATAATCACACCTTCACACACACACACACACACACACATACACACACTCACACACACACACATATACACCTGTCCTGGTTTTAAAATTAATTCATATATTCTTTATATAAAATATAAAAACAGAGTACGCTATACGTTGCAACATATATTGGCAGAATATATAAATATTTTATGCTTTGAGTTTTAAAGAAATTGCTGTTGTAATATCGAAAATGTTAATAGAGATACAATTTTTCAAATCTTCTTTTCAAAAATAAAGATTGAGTATTTCCATGAAAATTATATTAACATCTGGTTTACTTTAAATTGTAAGGAAATCTGTATATAATCCGATATAAATCTGTATATAAATAAAATGAAAAGTATTAGAAAAATTTATTACGCATTTTGTGGAAAATATTACCCCACGTTCGTAAGCATTTTATGATTCAACTAATAAGCACCCAATAAATATCACGTGCAAAAGAACCTGATGCCTCCTTTTCTTCTATAAACTAATGAATATTAAAATTAATTTGTCTATTAACGAAAGTGCATGTGTTTTCTGGTATTTTTCATTCAATTTCCGGTTTAATTTTGGCATGAATATATATTAAACATATTATTAAATTTCATAAGTACAAGTTTTCGACATAGTATTACGTTTTAAATAAATAAACGTCATATGTGCATTCTGTAATGTATAACTGTAATGTAAATTTTGTAAACCTATAAACAGCAAGTCCGGGTCCTCCCATGGATTGCATAGGACTATTCGGAAGCACGATATGATCCACTTTCGGAATAATGTCCGTCCACGCTGTTTTCAAGTTTCTAGTAAGATATAACATCACCGCTTCTGCTTTTTCTTGTATATATCTATATGATCTTATCGCATCCTTTTTGTGCCATGTGTGGTGAATACCTTGTTTTTCACGATCTCTCCTGATGTCATCAACTGCTAAAATAGTCAAAAGATGAGCGGGGATGGGAAGAGTTTCATCAAAATAAATCAATTGCATGCCAAGCTGTTCAAACTCTGTCTTCCATTCAGGCTTATTCGAAAGAATCGTATAATCTATAAAATGTCTGACTGTGACTTTAAAACTTATTTTTATTGTCGGATCGTCCCAGCATGGAAATAATTGCCGTATTGCGTTTGGTGTATATAGATTCGTGATCAACGTCCTGTTGTATTTAAAAAAAACATATTTTATAAAGGTTATTATTTTATTATTAACTTATATATATTTTAATAGTTGATATGACGTTCTATATTAAAAGAATATTTAACAAAATATTAAATAAATATTTAATGATTTAGAAACTATACAGGATGGGGCAATAACTATTAGGACCTTAAATATCTTAGAATCTATAAGGCCCAGAAGAATATTTATGTAACCAAAATTATACGGTACAAAGGCGGCTATCATATAGCGATAATAATTTTTGTCCAGGTGGAGGTGCTTAGGAGATACCAAGGTCAACTTGCATTTTTTAAATGGGAACCCTAATTTTTTATTACACTATCTTTTTCTAACAATTAATTTGAACAACTTTTGTCTAAAACATTTTTCCATTTGTCTAATATTTTTTGAGATATTTGAGGAAAACTTGATAATTTTTTCAATATTAAATTTATGATATCTCGCTAACTATTTGTCGGAAGAAAAAGTAATACTAGACTTTCTTGCTTTATTTAGTCTCAAGAATATATTGTTACAATAGTGCCCTGATTTTTGTTAATTTGATGATTTTAAAATTTCCAAAAGTCAGTAAGTTAACAAAAGTCAGTGCTCTATTGTAACAATATATTCTTGAGACTAAATAAAGCAAGAAAGTCTAGTACCACTTTTTCTTCCGACAAATAGTTAACGAGATATCGTAAGTTAAATATTGAAAAAGTTATCAAGATTTCCTCAAATATTTCAAAAATATTAGGCAAATAAAAAAATGTTTTAGACAAAAGTTGTTCAAATTAACTAGTAGAAAAAACAGTGTAATAGAAAATAAAGATTCCTATTTAAAAAACGCAAGTTGACCTTCAAATGACCTTAAAAATGGAGGTCAAGGTCAAAGTCAAGATCATCATAAGGTAGATCACTTAAATCCCTATAACTTTTATTGAGATTATTTTCCTTGAAACTTCAATACTGAAAAGTTATGAGGTTGGTTCGTTACTTTTGGGACACCCTATATTTATTTATTTATATAGCAAGAGACACAACAATTTTGAAAAATAATGTTAAAAATGGTTCTTATTGAAGACATATTTATTACAACTAGCAATTATTATAACTATATCCACACATTAGTTCACATTATACTAATTTTCTTTATTATTATTGCAATTTCTTCTTTGCAGCCTTAAAACATATTAAACTTGTCTAGTATGTTCTTTATTTGTTTTTTGCGGTGGTCAATTAAGTTGTTAGTCATAGTCAAAACAATATGAGTAAATAAATTAGAATGGTGTTCAGTAAAATTTTGTATCTAAAACAGATAATTAATTTAGTTATTAATAATGATGTAATAATAACTCAGACTAATATAATAATGATCTGTCAATATATGTATAATTTCTTATCTTTTTAAATAATTAAAACAAAAACATATATAAAACGTGTACAAAGACATAAAATAATTTAAACAATCAATAAATAACTACAGAATGTAAAATTTACCTTATCAAGTTGTTTTTCGGAATACACATTCATAATAATAGTACTTAAAAAATCTTCATGATCATAATGTACATTAAAAAATCTATAAAATTATGAAACATCGGATTTAGTAGCGGAAAGCAATTGCATCTCATGATAGCAATATAACTTATATTTTTCAAGAAAAGGATTACCTTCTTTTTATAGTATCATAATTCTGCAATATATCGTTAAACACGCTATCCTTTCTTACATGCTTTTTCAGAACAGAAAGGTAAATGTCGTTTAACTTTGTTCCTATTTGCTTTTCAAGATTCGTTTCAAGCATATGATGTAAATAATCTAGGACAATATGTTCACGATCAATACAAGATAAATATTCTAATAACTCGGTATTGTTGTGGCGAACACTTTCGATTAAAGCATTGTCCCAAAGTACTGTGTCTAACAACATCATCCCCGTACAAAATAACCAGTCTTTCCACATTGAAGGTATTCTACGGCGCATATGAAGAAGAATAAACATTTGTAAAACTTTTATAATAAAAATATAGTCGTTAACTACGTTTCATGATAACATAATTTATCAATCATGATGTGAGTAATATTGAACAAATAAAATTTAAAAATGTAGGCAATAATCGTAAAAAGAATTACTTATTCGGTCTGTGGTATTGGAAATATGTGCCTAATTTATTGGTAGCGGCTTCTCTGCACCTCGTATGACCGAGTTTACAGGCCCATTTTATTGCTAACATTCTTAACGCTTTTGGCATAGCTCTATTATCATAATATTCAAAATCATATTCATCATCTCTAATAACTCCATTCAAGATATCCACAAAGTATGTCTGCAAGTTGTGACATAACATCATTTTTGCATTTATAAAATTAAAATAATAAATTGATTCGGTAAAAGATTTGTAAATGTAGAATATACTGTACCCATCCAAGACTTTATAATATTTTTTGGTAAACAGTGCGTATAAAATTGATGAATTTTATTAATAAATTTGTCTCTATATATATATACCCACCTTTACAAGATTACTATCTGAATATTCAAAGAACTTCGACATATATGATAAAATGTTAAATATAGGATGCCACGCTATGAAATCTTTCTCCCTCTTTAAATATTGAATAATATTCAAAAAGATAGACGAATTGATATCACCTTTCATCATAAAATAATACGCATCACTAATGAGCTGAGCACGATTGAGAACAGGTATTTGTAAAAAATTGTCGAACTGTAGAAATGACGAAATTCTATACCAATTCCTGTGATCATAGTTAACACGATAATATCCTGTTAGCAAAAGGGAATTAAACACATGTAACCGCAGATTATAAGATTCATCGTTCTACTTAATAAATATTATTTCTAAACGATCAGTTTCCTTTTTCCAACATGCGAATTAACATTATAAAATTTTTTTATAAAAATGCGCGTGCTTTCAAACGAATATATTTTATAAAATTTATTTTTTTCACGAGGGAATTGTATATTTTTTTGTAAATATGTGTGTGCATATATGTGTGTAAGAGAGTGTATATTATGATTAAACACATTTATTCATCGATTCTGCTTAAATCAGAGTTAAGCATTCGTGACAGTCTTTCGACATCTGACACACATACATACACCACGTACATGCACATGCAATACTATTTGATAAATTATACAAAACTATCATCTGGCATGGCAACTCAAAAAAAAACTGACCAAGTTACATAAACAACTGTACATAAACTAGTAAGTTTCTTCTAGGTTTTATAACTTTTACGCACACGAATTTTTTTGCACACAAAATACATGTAGCAAAAGTTATAGCAACACATATATGAATATTATAGTCAGTAATGTAGACAGATAATATGGATTTAAAACTGTTTTATAATAGGCGTATTTTCATAATGTCGGAAAGATGTTTATAAAACATCTTTGAAACATGTATGTTATCTAGATAAATAACCTTTACGTATATTTTTATATGTTGCGATTTCTCTGAAGAAAAGTAGACGAGATTATATAAATCTAAAAACATAAAACATACAATAATACTTATAAATTTAATTATTAATGCTCACCAACTTGTTCTACATTAAGTAGGATAAAATCTTGTGTATTAATGCCATCGATAATTTTCTCTTTTGGCCACTCGAGCCAAATAATATTCGATGTATAGGTAGAAATAAGATTTGACTGTGTAATATAAGTTATAGGTATCTTCCAACGATTCATCTTCATTTCATCATTATTAAATATTGCATAACACATTGCTGTTTCCTCTCCAAAATTACGATAGACGTACAGGTCAGGATGATATTTTGTCGTTAACCACGTATTTATTACTTCTGTTATATAGTTGCTATTGTTTTAAAGATATAAATGTTCTAAGATCTTCCACTATTTAATGATACTAATAAAGTAGTATTATGTAGGGTGTCCCAGAATAGTTGCTACAGAGCTCATAAAGTGGATTAAAACAAACATAATCCCGTACCGTTTTGCAATATATAAATGTAGAGATAATATAATTATTAATATAGAGAGTTCAGATTATACAGAGTATCTGTAAAGTCCGACCCCACTCCTGGATCTTAAAAACGACTTTAAATATGAAAAAATATTTCAGACAAAAGTTGTAAGATATTGAGGGGGACACATGATAAAAATATGGACTTGACCTTGAGTGACTTTATTAAGGCCAGATTAATGTGATCGATATTTTCTTAAATAGAACCTCCTATTTTTTATTGCACATTCTTGTAGTCCGTATCGAGACGTTTTCAAAACACTACCTATTTTTATTTTCTGCGTAAGCCATTCCCAAGATATGAAGCTTCAAAGTTGATATATCACCGGCATTCGCATTACCCAAGGTGTACCGCGTGGAGGTTGCATGGTCGGATTTTCGCCTCTTGTGTGTGCGTGCGTGCGTGCGTATGTGTGTGTGTATGTGTGTGCGCGTGTGCGTGTGTGTGCGTGTGCGTGCGCGTATGTGTGTCACAGTAGAGATAAGGACCCCACGGTTCGTCACTCCCATAGTATTTTTTGACTCCAACTTTGACTACCAATAATCCAAAGGTGGAGTCGGACTTTACAGATATTCTGTATATAATTCAACAAAGGATTGCATCTTTCGAATATATTACAAATAATTAATAATATTGTAAATGCACATAATTTTCTCGAAAAATAACACAATTATTATGAGCATTATTAACTTTTATCATAATAAAATTATATTAACTTTTATAACAATAACAATATGATAATAAAATTTTAATATAATTAACTTTCAAACATTAAACGATACGAAAGTATAAAACGAAATGTTATGGAGGAATATTGTAATAGTAAAAATTACGTATACAAATTACATTTCTTTTTATAAAATTTTTATAAAGCTGTATTATACCGATATTATGATATAAATTACTACAGATATAGTAAACGACGAAAAACAAAGAACAAAATATTCAAGTAACTAAAATGTTGCAAAATGCCAAATATAACTATCTTTATATAAATATATACAATAGTAATTTTTATCATGTATTCATTCATCATATACATTCTCTATGGTCCAAAGTTACAAAATCTTTTGTAATTTTTACTATAATATTTCTTCCTTTTATGCTTATAATATTAATAATAATGCATTAAGCTCACCGTGAGCGTAGATATTTGATCATAATATCTTCAAATGTTTCCGAAGTATTAAGATGGTACAACATGCGAATTATTGCGGTTCCTACAATGATTTATATGGTAATAAATGTTAATTTTATTAGTTTAGAATGATCTATTAATTGCATTTAGTAAGCCTCACCTTTCTTGTGATGTAGACGAGTATAAAGAAGTGCATCAATTTCATTAGCACTGTCATCTTTGTATATGATAGGATTAAACTCTAAATCAACGTCGCTATCTAAAGAAGTCTGTAGATTTTGAACTACGAACAATTCCATTAATCTGTCTTCTTCCCAAATCTAGAAACAACATTTTTGACGCTTAATTTAATACGATTTCGATGTAAGTATTCGTATTAACGAAATGAATGGGCATTTTCACTAGATCGTCATTAATTATTATATATATATATATATATTTACAAATTCTTAAAATATTTTTATAACATGAACAATTGTTTTAACTGCAAAGTGAACGAAGTGAAAAGTTTGCATTTCAATAATACCAGTTATATAAAATAACCTTGGATGAAGCATGAAGACTGTAGAATGACGAAAATATCTTGTTTGTCCACATGTCGATGTACATATGCGAGTTGGTTAAATGTTCAAACCATTGACGCGTTGTTTCATATGATATTAACTTTATAATATCAATATATCGACCAGACATATCTGAATCTCGGTCAAATATAACATCTTGTTCCCTAAAAAATGGAAAAATTGGATTTATTTAAAAAACATCTCTTGTTGCCATGATTTCGCAGAATTGACGGCTTTCATATTTGATTAACTTAATTCCGTATTATTTAATGTCGTACTTATTTATTGATTGCACAAAGTGAGAAATAAGTTACTCCTTTCTTTTTTAGGTATTATTTGTTAAAAATGTATATATAAAAGAATAAATAAAAGAAAAAAAAAAGAAAAAATGTATATATAAAAGAATAAAAATTTCTTTATTCTTTTTTAGTAGGAATCTTGAAAATTTCAAGTACAACATATTTGTTTCCAATATTCAATTATGCTCTAATAACGAAACTACTTCGTTTTCGCTACTACTCAGGTCGCAATTATACAACATTGTAATATGAATAATAGGCATTCTAAATATTAAACGTTTTGAAAAATGTTAATTTTGAGGATTGATAATGAATGGATTACTTCTAAAAAAAGCATTTTTCTACCATGGAATCTATTTATTGCTAGAAAGATGAGAAAAATTTATTGCAAGTGAGAAATATTTTGATTAAAATAATTTAAATAATAAATAATAAACAATCTATTCATCGTTAACTCTCAAAATTAGCTGAAATGTTTAATAAATTGTTAGATAAATGTAATGTGTAAAAAATATAATCTGTTTGATAAGAATGTGTCTGGCAGAACTTGATAAATAATTTTTTGTAATAACTTGAAAAAAATATACACATGATTAGAATCGTGATTTTATTTTATTATTATATTTTTTTATTTTTATTATATTTTTATTATATACTTTATTATTATATAATAACTTGTTTAGTTATTTTTATTATCATTAATTACTTGGCATCTCCGAAGCGTATTTTCAATTAATATTATGACATATTCGTATCGGGGCTTCTAGCTCTGATCTGATTGCACCTGATGATGCAAATTGCAATGTTTGCGAAACGTCGGCACAACGCGATATTTATCCGAAAGAAACACACCCTGATTGTATCAATGGCCGCGAAAGCCTAAAAACTAATATTATGACATATTCTTGAGATAAATATCTCCAAAATTTAATTAGTAGAACTAACTTATTTAGCCTTCCAAATTTTCTTTCTCTGAAACTTAAGCTTTATCCAGAATGAAACATTTTCGATGGAATTTATATCTGATAATAATGACAGCTAACCCAATAATTTAGCATTATTTTCTTGTTTCCATGCAATACAAAGATGACTTCGATATTTAGGGTTATTGTCTTCTTGTAGTATTAGTTTTTCGTTTTACTTTATAAACCACTTTGGTCAGATGGCAATAAAACCTTCTTATAAATTTTGATCATTTTAGTTGCGTGTAAATTGTCTGTGAAGGTATACAAAATGCCAAATCTCTGCTTTAAGAAGTAGCCCCAAACATTCATCTTTACTGGATATTTAACGGTCCGCTAGACGAGTCTATTAGTACGAGTACACCAAATTGGAGTGATAGAAGTCTTTGCCCAAAAGAAAGTTTTATCAGAAAAAATTACATTGCCCCAATTGCGATCTACATTTTCTTGCGCCCAAGCAATTCTTTTCTTGACGTGTTTTTCGAATGGTAGAGGTTTCTTCCCTGTTCTTCAATATTTCATATTATGAGCACGTCGTCTTCCTACTGTGTCATATATCTTTTATTGTATCATATGATATATTTAAACTTTGTTTTCTTCAATATTGCTTGTCCGCTTCGCAACGATAGATCAGTATTATTTGCAAACGTTCATAGAATCAGTTTTATTCTCTTTGTTCATCGTTTTTTACGTTTACAGAATCAAGTTTTGGTAAGTCATCGACGTTTTTCATCTCTAAGTAGCGATTCACTCATTTATTTAACTAAATGCCTCAGACTTTCTTATATACTTAGCAGTTGCTTGGTGCGATATTCTTGGTTTTTTTGGATGTGTACAGAAAAACACAGTTTTGAATCGCGATGCATATGTAGAATACATGACGAAATCTCACTTTTTGTCTCAAAGATCGAACAACAATTAAAATTTTCTCTGCAAAACATCTTCGAAGTATCTCTCTATTATCTTCTTTTAGAATTTCCCGTCTAACGGTTTCTATGTAAATGTTTTTCCAGATACGCTCTTACTAAACAGACTGTGTACAAGCATGCGATTCATCATATTTTTTAAAAAGGAATAGTGTTTGTTTTTAAATACAAGAAATATATTGGAAGTAAACTTAATATATAATATGTATACACTTGGAGTTTTAAGAAAATTTGTAAAAAAAATGAAAATAAAAATAATTACGGAAATTTAATATATATTGCTTTGTAAGTAATATCTCAAAATAGTAAATTCCATTTATGACACCATCTTATTTTACATGTTTAACATTAACTAACTAACGCGTGTACAAAAACCTGAACGAACAACATCATAGAATTTCCAAATGCTAAGTACTTTTCTATCCTTAATGACTTATATATTTGAGAATATTTTAACTATACATATTGCATACCTGTAAATTATCAGTCCACAACGTCCTATGGATTTTATTGGACTATTTGGAAGTATAACGTGATTGATTAATGGAACTACTGACTTTCCCAAGTTCCAGTTCGTGAAAATTTCTAATGTGATATATTTAATTATCTCGGATGCCAACTCCACTGTTTTCGATACATTCTGCTTATTCCATACATAATTGACCCCGCTAGATACACTTACGATATCATCGACTACCACAAGAGCCAAAAGATACGTAGATATTAAATGAATTTTAGCGAAATTTGTCATCAACATATCTGGATTTATAAGCAATTTCTTCAATATAGGTGCATTTGACAAAGCCACATATTCTCTAGGATGTTTGATTGAGATGATAAAGGATGATTTTATTCCTGGTCGATCCCAACATGGAAACAGTCCTCTTATTGTATTCGGCGCGTATAAGTTCGTGAAGAACCACCTATCACATTTTGACAATAAGCTTTTGGTATAACGATAAACTTTTAGTTGTTATACGATCTAATTAAATTAAATTGTATGTTGATGTGTACGCGTGCATGTGTGTTTACAATGATTATATAAATATGATGTTCTACAGTTAAAAATCGTGACTGTTTATATGCCATATACTTTATATGAAAATTTCGACGCATTGCAGCATACTAAATAAAATGTTCATAATGTAACCAAATTTTTTTAAAGATTTTTAACTTTCTTTAATTTTTAATTTTTTTAAGGATTTATAAAAAATTTAAAAAGGCATTCTTAATTTGTTCAACTTATCGTATGTTTAATTTATTTCACAATTATTTATCCGCGGTAAAATATAAACGATTTTATTATATTTATTTTATTTTATTAATTGAAATATTAATATAATTAATATAATTAATCGAAACATTAATATAAAAGAGACAGAAATATCAGAAATGAGCAATGATCAATAGCAAATAGTGACTATTATCAGGTTACAATATATTCATAATATATCGATACTTACTTTCCAGTAACGTTATTCCAAACATATGGATAATTGGAAGAAGTTGCATTTTTATTTAAAAAAATGACGAATTCCATGTGTAACAGATGCTTCTCAGGATATATAATATCATTAAACAAAAGTTCTAAAATATCAACATTTTTACAATACGCATAATTTAATAGCTTATTTACTGTATGCTTTTGTTTATGTGCCAATTTAAGTGCTATACTGCTAAAATTTACTTCTATTTCACGAGCATTTAAGATTATCGATTTTGTCTCTTTATGGACGTTAATTATAACATTCATTGTGCCCACAACAACATTTATGTGTGGCTTTATTGTAAAATTGATATCGTATCTTATTGGCTCAATAATCCCGGTCGGTATTTGTGTAAAAGTGTCTGAACAATTTATAACCATTCCCATCGTATTAGCCATCATAATGATAAAAATCAGGACAACGCTGAAGTGTAGTTTCAAAGATAACACATCCATTTTCACCATAAATATCTGCACGAACAATTCAATTGTTATTTGAAAAAGCCATTGAATAAACGCAATACGTTGCATCCTTCTGCAGTTTTGATTTTTATGATAATAAAATGTGATAAAAGAGTTAGGCAGAAGTTAGTCTTTTAATACAATATAATATTATATTGAAATATATTATATATAGGACTCTATAATATTATAATTTACTATATATAACATTATAGTATCCTATATATAATATATTTTAATATAATATTATATATATGCGGTTTATTATAATATATTTAAGGATATTACGTTCATATTCCGCGCACATGATGGACGCATGTCGATTATAACTAATTGGGTATAATCAGTAAACACAATACATCTTTCTTAACATATCTTTCTTAACAATATATATTTCTTCTCTTTTCGGTGCTTTATATCGTATTTAAAATAATTTCATTTCCTAATAATTTGTTATATTAGACATGCGTCGGTTACTTCAAATTCTTAAAATTGAAAATATAATCTAAAGTTATATCTTACCTTCCGGAAGACGTTTCATTACAAACTAACTAACAAACATCGATGTTTTGTGTTCTTATACATTCCAATTGGTAGACCATCAAATTATAATAAACTTCAATTATTGCATACAAGAAATGTCCTCTGTCGGTGTATGCATGTTTACAAATAATCTCCTTTATAAATTTAAAATATACTTTTGAGAATATACACAATACGTGCGCGCGCGTCTGTTTTAACGTTTTACATGTGGGACAAACCGATCTCTCACGATAAACCAATGTTACATATGTGGGACAGCAACTTTTTTCGCATGTCCGTATAAATAAATTAAATTTCTTTTTACATAATTATATATTGTAAAAAGGAATATGTGATGACCAGCAGCGAGAGTTCCACAAATAAACCGAACGTATTAAAATGATTCTGTTGTTGTATATGATTCTCCAAAAAATTGTACTCTTATCATTTTATAATTACACTATTATATTATATTAATTATTCCTTATTGAAATGTAGGTTACACGTGCGAGGAAAGAGTGAGATCGCGGAAGCAGACTGTGGGCTTGTTTTTGGCGACGTAATCATCGATTCAATGGATACCAAGCGAGAGAGGTAAATCCATCTTTATGTTTACAAGCAAATACTTCGCCGAGATTTTAATTAGATCCCTGCTGAAGCGGAAAAAACAAATATTATAAAATCATGTTCTCATAAAAATATTGATGTATACTTTGAGGAAAAAATCATAAAATATATGTTTAATATAATTTATTAAAAATATGAATAACAATCTTTGATATTATGTACATATGTATGTATATAAAATCCTGATGTAAATAAAAACATATGTATATATCTACATAGATGTATTACATATATGTATATATAAATATGTTTATATATGCATATAATATAAATATATTTTTTTATTATATTTTTATTTATTTTATTATATTTTTTACTTATTATATCAAAGAAAGAGAATATTATATTATATCTTACATTAAATATATTTATATGCGCAATATATTTATATTTTATATAAATTATGCTACATTATGATTTACTAATTAATCTAACAATTAAGATTATTTATGATTTGAATGGATAATATCATAATTTATTTTAATTACTTTAACTTAAATATAAATATTTAAATAACTAGATATCATATCCGGTTGTTTATCAAATGAATCTGTTTGAATGAATGATTTCTATTAGATTTCCATTCTCCCAATTTTAAAAATAGTTATACTCGTCTATTATTTTATTTATTCGATTAATTCGTGCTTCTAATAAGTACTGTATATTCTCATAATTACTATCATCTGTTGGGAATTGCTTTGCAAACTCTCTTATCTAAAACAAATTTTAAAAAACATAAAGATATAATTAAATGTCAAAGCCTAAGGTAAGTCTATTATTTAACACCAACAAATGGCTAATTGATTTGACGTAACAAAACTCAGTATATATACAAAAATAATTAAGAAGTAAAGATAAAGAGAAAAGATATATTTGAAAAAAATGAATTTTACCATGTCGAATTCTAACGAATATTTCATATTCATAATAGCATCACCTAGTATTTCCATTAGAGTTCTACCAAACCTGCCAAATTAGAATAACAAATTATCGATAAATTCAGCTTACTCTCGTGGTCATGCACTATTAATATTTTTTTGAGAACAAAAATCACCTGAGCGATATATTTTTATAATTCTGTAAGACGAATCTAAACACTATCTCTTTACCCACGTGTCTTTTTAGTAGAGTATTAAAAATTCTGAAACGCTCATCACTATCTAGAAACTTTTTCTGGCTCATCGAATTCAGATCATCGTATACCAGAAGGAAATTTAAATAATACAAAAGAAGTGAATCTTCGTTGCAACAAGTTAAGTACATTAAAATCTCCAAATCCTTATTCTTTATTCCGTTGTTCAGCATCTGATGCCAGGTGTCGAGGCTTACCATTTCCATGCCCGTGCAATAAACCCAGTCTTTCCAGTATGGTACAATTCTATGACACACGTGAACAAAAATAAGAATTTACCACAGAAATTAAATTTTTGATTGAGCATGAATAGTTGAACAATTTGCAACAAACAAATTGCAAAATATTGTAAGATAAATATATTGCAGAATAGTAACGATTGTAAATAAAATTACTGATATGCCACTGGATTCTTTATGTGCATGTCCAGTCTACTGTTGGCAGCTTTTCGACACTCTTGATAACCGAGTTTGCAAGCCCATTTTACTGCCAATAATCGTAACGACTTCTTCATGTCATCATCATCAGGTTTTTCATCGTAACCGATATTCTTAATGAGTGCACTCAAGATATCTAATATGTGTGGCTAAAAGTCATTAAGTAATATTAATCTTTGTTAATACATCTTCTACCACTGTTCATTTGTAAGAAATCCTTTCCACAGATCTTCTTATATTTGATATTATGTTACGTGATTGCGAAAAATAAACTTGATTTGTTTACATGAATATAGAAAAAAATTATCATTATCACACATACATGATGTTGGTCTCTCGTAAGAAATTGGTTTATCAAATATATGTAATACCGATAACGAATATATTAATTACATTAGTTCATAATAACTATATACAAAATAATTATATACAATTATATAATTGTAGCGTTGTATATGAATTTCCAAAAAAAATTATTGTCATTTTTCGTTATTCAATTTCTGTCATTCAACTTCCTACAATGTTGAGTATGTGGTTATTGAATAGCATCATGAAAACGACTATAAACGTAGATATTTAAAAAATTAAGGCGCCGTTAAAAAGTATGAAGTTGACCTTCATTTTATCTTAACACTCTGCCCAAAGAAACCAATAACATTATCTCTCTCATAACATATCTCCTTTGAAACCTTAAACCCTACATCTTTTGTCTCAAATATTTCTTTTCATTTTACTTTCTCTTTTTACATATTTAGACGTCTTAATTTAAATGCCGTATCCTGCATAATTATATCTAATTGTATATAACTTTATAATATTTTAAGCAATATTTGTTTCACGTATAAAGCAACGTACGCATTTAAAACTTATCAATATTTAATGATAATATTATTACTTACTGTCACAAATCTATCATTTGTATTTTCGAAATAATCTGACAAATATGACAAAATATTAAACATAGGATACCATGCAACAAAATCTGTTTCCCGTTTAAAATATTTCATGATATCGAAGAAAACCGAGATTTCAACTTCATCTTTTGTCATAAAATAATACACATCATCGATGAATGCAGCACGATTGAGGACGTGAATATCGGTATAATTGTCGAACCGTAAGTAAGAAGAAATTTTTCTCCAGTTTTTGTTGTCGTAATTGACACGGTAGTATCCTAATATATGAAAAATAAATTGATTTTATTAAACCACTGTTAGATATTTTTATCATATCTGTTAAACAATTTTTACGAATGTAAATATTTTTCATTTCTATGTCAACGTACATAAGATGTTGATAAATTAATGTTATAACACTTATAACAAGTGGGAAGCAGGGCAGAGAGGAAGGATGAAAGAGACTTGAAAGTATTAAAATATGGTCATCGAGAAGTGCATAATTCTTGAGATACATTCTATTTTAATATAAGATATTTCATGGTGAAACAAATTAGAATAAGATGTTAAAAATATCTCGGGAAATATAATTCAACTTTTAACGATTTTATTTCAATTTTTTTGAACACAGAATGCGACTTGAGGGATCAATTTATGTCAAAAATATTGTATGATTCTTTTCATTTGAAAATTGAAAAGCGGTTAATCGGTATGCAGACATACTTGCAAAATCTCTTCCAGCCCGTAATACAGGAAAATAGCATTTTCTAACATGAGTATATTAAATAAAAATGATCGGCTTCGAATTTCTCTATCTGCTGCCGAACATCCTAACACAAATTCATTAACATGTTGTACAAATAATGTATCTTGCATGCTGAGCATATTGTGAAATAATTTACGAAAATATAATGAATTTATCAATCACGCGGTCAGTACTTACCAACTTGTTTGTGATTTAATATGATTATATCATCTATTTGAACATCATCTAAATCATCACTTATGGAGCATTTGAGCTCCGTAACATGAACAGTTTGTCGGTGAGGGATGGTTGACAGTTTGCTATAAGTTACAGGTATTATCCAGTTACTGCCGTCCTCACACGATGCTGAAACTATTGTCTTAGAAGTACTAAAATTAGTTTTCAAATACAGTACAGGATATTGTTTTCCCTTTAACCATGTATGCATTGTTTCTTTTATATTATAGTCACTTTCCTCTGATTTGTCATAAACTGCTTGTGCTACTTTCCAAAAGTCGTTGATGGTGGCAGAACTGGACTTACTGAATCAAAATTTAATAACGTTGATAACATGTGAATTTTGCAATAGTTCAGACAAACAATACATTTTTTATAATTTCATTTATCCGGAAGTCAATTTACAAGAGTTGACATCGATAACACTTTTTGTTATAATAATATACGCTAAATGATTATTAAATATACAAGTGTCCTATTTTATACAAATTCGTTTGCAATTCTATTAATATATTACGATTTATAACTGTGTAGATTAATTAATTCAACTTCTTTTTATATCATTAATCGGTATAACGACCGAACGCACAAATATCTCTAAAATAAGACACTAAAATACACACACACACATACACACGCGCACACGCGCGTATATATGGTAGATATAAAAATATTGCAATACATTACTCACTATTTGCTCACATATCTGTCGACAACTTCTCGGAAATTTGGAACTCCGAGAAGATTTTGCAACATGCGAATAAAGATGGCACCTAAAATGATTCACATTAAAGTAAGACGTGGCATATTGAGTCCAGTTCAAATAAAATAATGTTTGCGACAACCATGAACTTATATCCAAATTTCACCTTTATTGTTACTCAGATGAAAATAAAACGTCGTGTCGATCTCGTTTGCATCGATTTCAGCAATATCTTCGTATGTTTCTGCAATAGATTGCATTTGGAGCATAACATCGTAACGAAATGTAGGCTGTAGCGTCTGGACGACAAAGAGATGTATGTACATAGGATCTTGCTTCATCTGGAGACAATAATGATTGCAAACAAATGAATGTAGAAAAATGTATTTAAATTAGTAAAATAGATAAGCGCTGTTTCATTGCTGTTGAAAATATTCGCACGGGTTTAAGATAGTTGCCACGTGAAATAAATTTTCCAGAAATCCACATAGGTAACTTAAATTACCTATTAATCGAAATGTTATCTGCTTGCGTAATTAAAAAATAATCAAACGTTCAAAAACTAAGATGTTTGCAATTAAAGTTAATTCTTTAACTTTAAAGCGTGTTTCTTTATCTTTATATCATCATCAGTATCAATTTTGTATTTCTACTATCACAAATTCCACTATTACAAATTCAGAGTTTTAGTAAAAATTTATTGTGATATTGAAAATGAGATATCAGTATTATATAAGGAAAAAATCAGAATTTTTGATCATTTAGTTTTGAAAATAACTGTAAACGTATATAACTTATAGTAATACTCCAAGTACGAAAAGAAAAACAAAAAAGAAAATATATTCTTTTTCAAGACTTCACGTAAATAGATTGAAAGAAAAAACGAATATAACAAAAATGGACCGAAATAAAGAACTGCTAAATATTAAAGTACACCAAAGAGGTAATCTCCTAATTGAAAATTTGCATTGGTAAGCGGAAGAAAATAAATCAATTACAACTGTTTTTAAATACAATTGGATATTTCTTCGCATATTTCATTGGCAAAATGGTGGTGTAGCTAGTTTTTACATAAGTATAATGCTTTATCTCTACACTATAAGAAATAATATGTTAAATTTAATATATTTCATGTGTCTCAAATTATCCACTTTCATTTATGTATTAATTTAACATACAGCAAATATGTTAAAAAATAACACACATAATATGTAAAAAATTAACACAAAAATTTAACATTTGAATGCCGTCAAGAATCATAGTTTGTATTAAATTGACATACAATGAATGTTACTTCAACATTTGGGAAAAGTAATGATCTATGATTTAATGAAATGAAAATGTTAGATTGATATAATCTATGTATTAAAAATCTAATCTTCACATACCAGAAACGTTAATATTATACATTTAACCCAAGATAACTGTTATAATGAAGAAAGTAACACATTTTAGGTGTTGACTTCAACATATAAAATACATATAAAATACATGTATGTCATAGCAAGTATTCATGCATTTATATATAAATTGTGTTATTTTAATACTTGGAAATGTCATTTTAACACTTGAAAATAGATAATCTTAATTTAACACAAGAAAGTCTAGGTACCATAACAACGATATGTTAAATTAACACACAACTATGTAAAAAATTTAACACAAAACTTTCTGCACACAAATAATTTTAACAAAAGTACGAAATGTTTTTAACTGTGTATAAACCTAAATTTTCACCTAAATTAATCGATTCTCTATAAACCCTTCTTCATCCAAATATCTATAAACTTCCTTTTACCAAAATTATTCGAAAAACTTGCTTTTGATCGTACAAATTACCTCGAAGTAATAAGTGTACTTCCACAATAAAAATGAGTTGACATTTCGCCGATATCATATTACCTTGGCTACGGTATAATGAGAGAAGTACACGGCAAGTGCTTCTCCTAACCAGGAATCAGTCCACCAAGATGGACTGACCACCCCCAAAAACCATCGACGTGCTATGTTATGCGCCAGCTGTTTCGCTATAGCAATTTTGCGACCAGAGAAATGGATTTTTTCATCATATGTAAAATCTTGCTCTCTGTAAAATATAAAATTACCATTATTACACTGAAGATCCTTGCAATGAGTCATAATCAGTCGCCATTTTATGCTTTACATATGACTACAAACATATTAAATTTTTAGCAATTTGATAAAATTTCGATCGCTCTGCACAAAGAATCTTTTTCTTTTATCAATTATTTTCAACTGTATCATGTTTTTTCTAATATACAGATGTTTATATAATACGCAGTTTATCAGTAGAATTTATCTCGCTAGAAGACATAATAAATTAAGAAAGAACATTATTTTTTAGTTTCTAAAATATAAAAATAGCATATAATTAGACTATAATTAAATAAATAGATTATAATTAAGTAATACGTTCATGCGCAAGATTTTGATATATATTCTTCAGTTAAAAATACCGTGATTGTGTGTGTGTGTGTGTGCTATAATTTTTATTATAAAATTCTTTCTATGCGATTTGAGATACGAAAGCGAATAACAGATTTTCGAGCATTAAAAATTCTTTTATTCAATAATGATTGTACGTTTCTCTTGGATTTGACCATACACGAATGCCTACCATCAAATTTCAGTGATAACAGTGATTTCTTGAGGTTCCTCTACTAGTTAGGTAATAATTCAATTATGTGAATTGCGTACCTGTAAAGATAAAGTCCACAACATCCTATGGACTTCAATGGATTGTTTGGAATCATGATCAAATTTGTTCTGCGTTTCTTTTCTTGTACGTCCGTAGTCAAGGACAAATAGTCTCTGACCGATTCAATGATATTGCGTGTGTAATGCAACAAATCTGTTACTTCCTCTCTATACCATATAGTGCTGACCGCAAATTCTATAGGGTGGCTGACGACATCGTTGATTATCGTGATCATTATGGAAGAAGGTGAAATTGCGGCCGTGGTTTTAAAATACGTGACATGTATATCGTGTTCATCATCTTTGTCCACTCGTCGTATAGGCGTATTTGAGAAGACAATGTAGCGGCCCGAATGCTGGACGGAAATGTTGAAGAAAGCTTTCATCGCTGGTTCGTCCCAGCATGGAAACATCTTTCGGGCTTCATTCCGTTCAACAAATGTTGTAACCATCCATCTATCACATATCAATGACGTACGTTTGATCATGACATATTCTCGGCCATTGCATAATATAAACAAGTCAATTCGTTGGAGTATAAACATAAAAGTGTCTTAGATATAGCATTTTATAATTTTGCATCACAAATTTCTTGAGATCTAATTAGAATCTAATTCAATTTTTGAAATTTATATAGGACGTACCATTTTAAAAAAAGCACTTCGATAATTCTTCAACGAAGCATTTTTAGCAAAAATGTTTCGAACAAAATTTGTATGATTTCAAGAAGGACATAAAACAACTATACTATTTTGTTTACAACACTTTTGAGATATTCATTACTTTTCTTAAATAGAAACCCCAATTTTTTATTACACCACATTTTTCTACCAATTATTTTAAACAACTTTTGCCTGAAACATTTGTCTAATATTTTTTTAGATATTTAAGGAAAACTTGATAACTTTTTCAATATTTAACTCATAATATCGCGTTAACTATTTGTCGGAAGAAAAAGTGACCTTTTGCTCTACTTGGTTTCAAGAATATATTGTTACAATAGCGCCATGACTATTGTTAATTTGGTGATTTTGAAATTTCCAAAAGTCAGGGTGCTATTATAACAATATATTTTTGAGATTAAATAGAGCAAAAAAGTCTAGTATCACTTTTTCTTCCGACAAATAGTTAGTGAGATATCGTCAGTTAAATATTGAAAAAGTTATCAAGGTTTCCTTAAATATCTCAAAAAATATTAGCCAAATAAAAAATATTTCAGACAAAAGTTGTTGATATTAATTGATAGAAAAAGACGGCGTAATCAAAAATTGAGGTTTCCATTTAAGAAAAGTAATAATCAGTGAATATCTTAAAAGTGGTACCATTTGTAAACAAAATAGTATAGCTGTTTTATGTCCCCTTTAAAATCATACAACTTTTATCCGAAATATTTTTGCTGAAAATGCTTCTGAAGAATTATCGAGCTGCGTTTTTTAAAATGAAACATCCTGTATACGTAGTTCAAGTTGGAACAGTAATATTTGAAATACGCGATTCTAAGCAGGAAATTTATATTTTCTTCTAATATTTTCTGCATTAGAATTTTATGTCTTTATATTATTATTAAATTAAATACAATGATTAGTACGAAAATGGAATTTTCCTTATTTGATATAACAAAAATTTTACTGATATATACAAATACATTATCGTGAGCGACTTATGCATCTGGGAAAATCCTAAAAAATTTTTATACAGGATATTACATAATTTATCTAAAATTTTCGACATGTAACAAATACGATACGCGAAAATCGATCGATTCGTTAAAAATGAATAGAAGCAAAGAATAGTATTTTGAAAATAAAAAACGTGTCTGTGATCTATGAGCATCAATAAAAGTAAGTTGGATGTAATATTTCAGGAGTAGATATACATTGTCCTGAGAAAAGATATACGTGAAAATTTCCTGAAGTTATAGTAATAATCCGGATACTAAATATCGGGATAATTTTTCAAAATACAATTTTACGGAATAATTGGAATTAACTTGTTGCTCAAATCAAGTGCACTTATATCTTATTTATGTACAGCAAAATTGTATTAAACTTATATACCTGTGTATATTGTTTTCGAAATAAAATTATATATTTTGGGAAAGAATTATATATATTTTGCGAAAATTATTTTGTTTATTATCTTAATATATACACAGAAATTATGTCTATTCACCCTAATTTTTGGATTTCAATATTTGGGTTTCACGGAACAATACTTGTTCGCTACATTTCACAATATTGCAAACTTTATATGAAACTCTCGATATCTAATAGTGGTATTACCGTCGAAAATAGATAACAAACAAGACAATAAATAACAGCGATATTTCGTAAATAAAAAATGCGATCGCGGTATTTTCACGTTTACTTACCTTGTACTTATTTCATCCTGAAGGTACGGATATTGGATGAAGCCTTTGTATCTGGACAAAGGAGCTGTGAATGACATATATAGAACGTAATATCCACGATGCAATTCTTTGTCAAAATATAACTCTAAGATCTGCGATACGGTACAGTAACTATAGTCTTGCAGTTTGTAATCATCCAAAACAAAATCGCTGTTTTCACCGTTGCCATTATTACCGTTTTCACCGTTATCGTTTTCATTGCCATTGCCATTGCCGTTGCCGTTGCCGTTGCCGTTGCCGTTGCCGTTGTCGTTGTCGTTGCTGTTACCGTTGCCATTCACAACGTCCTCACTCCATGTTTTATTAAATTTTGTGAGGTGCAACTCATAACCATTTATTTTGAGCTTGTGGGCATGTAAAGCCACAATATTGGTTGAGTTTGCAATTCGTATTCTGATATGGCTTTCACCGATGATCGTCTGATAATGTAATCTTATGTTGAATTTAATATTATATTTTAGTGGCTCCACTACGTTCGTTAAACGATCATAAGAGGTAGCTTCTAAGCAATTTCCGACGTCTCTATTGGTGAATAATTCCATCGCCTGGATAAATACCAGGCTAATATTTAACAGCAGCGTTAATAGTAACGCGTCCATTTTCACATCCATCATATCTGCACAAACGATTTATTTATTAGCTGCGAAGGAAATTAAATATGAAATAACTTGCAATGCAAGATCGGATTGAATCTCGATTTTTACAAAAGAAGCAGGAGGAAGAAAAGCACACAGAAATAATGTCGTTTGCCGTAACTACGAAAAGAATTAACACTTACTAGAAGAATAATATTTTAGTCATTTATAATATATATAGCGACTACACATGTATCAGGTAGTGAGTAAGCATGGTAATGATTCTTATAACGAGCGACTGTATCACTATTTACGTGGAGAGCAAACTAAGGATAACGAAACAATAACAACAGGTACGTGTCTCAAAAGGCATTTCGAATCCTGGAAGAAATTACACAAGTTAGATACATGATGTAATAAATTTACATAATTATAAATTTACTATAACTATAAATTTACATTTACTATAAACTATACATTTACTTTTACTATAAACTGTACATTTACTTTTACTATAAACTATAAATTTACTATCGATCTGCTGGTTCTTATAGAAATAAATATAAAGATTAGGCAATTGTTATATTATTTACCTATTGTGTGTGCATGTGTGCGTGTGTGCGTATGGTGCATGTATGTGTGTGTACGTATACGTGTGCGTATGTATGCGTGTATATGTGTATGTACGTGTGTGCGTGCGTGCGTGTGTATGTGTGTGTATATATATATGTATTATATATATTAATATATATGTTATATATTTTACTATATACTATATGATAATACCATGGCACACTTTTAATAGGTGATGAAATAATTTCTTCCGAAAAATTACGAAAAAAGTTTAATTTAAATATTAGTTATTAAATTAAATATTAAATATATAGTTTATAACAAATATAATTTTAAACCTCACTAGCTTAACCGCAAAAGATCTAAATTTAATAATATAATATATGGTAAATTATAATCTAATGCATTTTTATTACATACAATGAATCACCAAATGAATAAATGCAAGAATTTGAAGGTATAATACAATATGTGAAATAAAAGTTATATCAAAGAATATATAAAAAAAAAACACAAGACAAACATTTCTTTCTCAAGGCTATTATTTCAGGAAATTAGAACTTATAAATATTCTAAAATCTGTTTCTTATATTTTCTCTTTCTGTTATCTTGTATATTGCTTTGCACGGATTAATTTTCTTCTTAATCAATTATATTTAACGCATTTGTTGCAACTAGTTTCTACAACTGGAAATATAATTTGAGATTATTGTATCTTACCTTTATAACGGTCCACTACGAACTAACGATGATAAGTACGGGATGCTACTATAAGTATAAAGTGCTAACCAATCAAATTAAACCATTATGGATACTGAACTTATAAGAAATGTCTTCTGTTGATAAACATACGCTTGTAATCGAACAACTGAGTCAATACTATGTTCTTACTAAAGATATTTTCGCTCAAGAGAATACGTAATTATTAATAACAATTATTTTAGTTTAAATAACGAGAATATGATGAGAATGCGTACGCGCGCACATACAAAATAATGAAATTGATAATATCTGCTATAACGAATATGACAATTTTCAAAACTTAGTTATCAGACTATAATTGCTACCATTTTTTACATTCATATTTTTATACAGTTTGCGCGTGTATGGATTCCATCTTATCTATTTCAAAACATGTTATTAAAACCAGTTGTTATTAAAACCAGTTGTATTATAAATATCTATATATTATCTCCAAACTCTCTTTTTGAGAAATCATTGCAAAATAATGACGATGTCGCTAATTTACGTATTTCCTCACGTATACAAATGCCAAATCATATGATTAAGTTATTTTACGATACGTATAAAAAATGTTACATGTCTTTTTTACACAGAAATATTTGTACAAATAGACTGTTGAAATAATATAAATATCCATAAACAATAAAATCATATTCAAAATAAATAATTGTTTTTATAAAACTATATACACACTGGTTACTCATACTATATTACTTTATAGTTTATAAAGGTATAGCTTATAAGGGAGATCGAGAGAAAGAGAGTCAAAAAGAAAGAGAGAGAGAGAGAGAGAGAGAGAGAGAGAGAGAGAAAAAGAAAGGAGTAAAGAAAATATAACTACATTATATTACAACTACGAGTTATGTTATAAACATAACGTCGTTATATTTTCACACGCTTTGTTTGAGTGATTAATTATCGACATAAGAATATCTGGACAGAGCATAAATTGTTAACTTAAATAAAGAGTGTGTATCAATTTGATTGATTATGATAGATGACTGATAGATACAAGCGTGAGAATGTATGAGGACGTACAGTAAATATTCTAGTAACGATAACATCCATTACGACAATCGCTACTTGATACAAAACCATCGAGCAAATTATTATATATGAAAACAAATGTTACCGCATTTGTGCGATTTATTTGATGTTAAATATTTGATAAAATTGTTTATATTAAATTGTTATAATGTGTTTTACAGGATACTTAAAATTAATATTTAAATGTATATTTTTATTCCAGGTTTATCCCAGCATGGAAACATCCTTCGGGCCATGGTCGGACTCGGTAAGAATATGTAAAACTATCTATTAAAATTTGATAACAATAAATTTTCAGCCACTCAATAATATGAATGCATTCACAATTGTAAACTGTAGGTACATTCTTAAAAATGCCGTTTTTAAATGAATCGTCATTTCGTTATATTTTGTAAAGATATATTTTCAATAATGCTTTCGACTTATAAAAACGATAATTGTGAATAATTATGAACATAATAATATAATAATGATACTTAATGTTTATTTTCTTACTTACTTTATAATTTAATCTGACGGCACACGAACTCTTGGGAATATTCAGAGGAAATTCCTAGAACGCTGAGACGTTCTCAGAATATCTCATTAGGACGTCTTCTAAATATTTTTATTGTTAGACTATTTATTTATAAAATTAAAATTAAAGGAAGATATATTATTTTCTCTCAAGAAGAATGATATATTATTTTCTTTCAAGAACTAACGATGACTTTAGAATTAAATAAAAATTTCATACTATACAGAGTTTTTATCTTAATGAAAATATACATCTAAAATTTACACTTGCCCATAGTAAAAATATATTCACAATGTACGAATTATAAATTCTTCACTATCTTGTATCAATAGAGCGTATCTAGATCTCAAACTATATCTAATGACAATCAATTTCCATTTTGCAAATGTTTAAATTTATCATTTTGACCGAACTTTGATCGAGAATTTGTACGTGTCCTAGAAAATAGTTATATATAATTATGCCCATTTATATATGATTATATATAAATTATACAAACTATAACGTAGAAAGGTTAGGAACAAATGAAATAACGTATACAGGTTGTCCCACATTTTAATGTTCCACTCCAAATAACTTTTTTATTTTTGATTGTAGAAAACAATATTTCAGACAAAAGTTGTATGGTTTTGAGGAGAGCATAAGATGATGCCATTAGTTTGACATTGAATAGTTTCTTGAAGGTCACATAAAGCTCATCTTTAATTTCTTCAATGGAATTACCTACTTTTCATTTATTCTTCTAGCTTACATCGAGAGCTTTCCAAAACCCTATAATTAAGTACCTTTTCGTTAAGTACTTTTTAAGTTATAAGACAAGATCGAAAGCACGATCCGACCAGTCAAGACAAGATCGGGTCATGTATAATTATTGTAAATGTCCGAAAAGACCGCCATTTACTTGGATACAAATGTCCAATCTACGGCGAAAATCATCCCGCATTTTTTGAAGGACATCTGCGTTTAGGTTCGTACAGAGTGTTGCGTCAACATACAGATCAGTACGATGGGTTACCTGCCGCACGTGGCCGGTAATGCAGGGCTTGCCGATATATTTACATGCCTACTACATGCAATGAAATGTGCAATACTTCTAATTATCACAATCGTAACGGATCCGCACTATATATATATATATATATAATTTAAATTATTAAAAAAACCTAACCTACCCTAACCTAACCTAACCTAATATAATATTTTTTTAATAATTTAAATTATATATATATATATAATTTTTATAATTATAATATAATTATTATATAATATAATTATATATAGATATATATATATATATATATACAGTATCTATAAAGTCCGACCCCACCCCTGGATCTCAGAAACGGCTTTAAATATGAAAAATTGTTTCAGACAAAGTTATAGGATATTGAGGGGGACATATGACAAAAATATGGAATTGACCTTGACCGCGCGCGTGTGTGTGTGTATGTGTGTGTGTGTGTGTGTGTGCGCGCGTGTGTGTGTGACCGGCAAAAAATAACTAATGTAAGAGGAAGGAAAAGTAGAATGGTGGAGAGAGACAGTGAAAGAGGGGGGGGAATTTTGACTAAAGAAATACATATACACAAAATTGGTCCTTTTTAGAGCCACACATACGCACACGCACAGTGAAAAAGGTTTGGAGTAAAAAATATTACGGGAGTGACGAACCGTGGAGTCCTTATCTCTACTGTGACACACACGCGCACGCACGTGCGCACACACACATACACACACACATACACACACACATACACACATACACACACGCATGCACGCACGCACGCACACACACGCACGCACACGCACACACACACACACACACACATGCACGCACGCACAAGAGGCATAAATCCGACCGTGCAACCTCGTACACCCAAGGTGTACCGCGTGAAGGTGTACCTCCACGCGGCACATCTTGGGTAATGCGAATGTCGGCGGTATGTCAACTTTGAAGCTTTATATCTTGGGAATGGCTTGCGCAACAAACAAAAATAGATAGTGTTTTGAAAACGTCTCGACAAGGGCTATAAGAATATGCAATAAAAAGTAGGAGGTTCCATTTAAGGAAATATCAATCACATTGACCTGGCCTTGATAAAGTCATTTAAGGTCAAGTCCATATTTTTGTCATATGTCCCCCTCAATATCCTATAACTTTTGTCTGAAACAATTTTCCATATTTAAAGCCGTTTCCGAGATCCAGGGGTGGGGTCGAACTTTATAGATAGATAGATACCCTGTATAGTGCGAATCCGTTACGTGAATCCGATCGTGATAATTAGAAGTATTGCATATTTCATTGCATGTAGTAGGCATGTAATTATATCGGCAAGCCCTGCATTACCGGCCACGCGCGCCTAACAGGCAGGCAACCCGTCGTACTGATCTGTATGTTGACGCAACTCCGTGTACATATCTCTCGAATACGTTCCTTCATGTTTTCCGCTGTTGTTGGCTCTTCCGCATAAACTTTTCTTTTACGCATCCCCAAAAGTAAAAATCGAGAGGGGTTAAATCAAGTGATTTTGGTAGCCATTTATGAGTCCGACTACCCATTCCAATCCATCTATTATTAAATCTATTATTTAAATAATTTGTAATATTTCGGGACCTGTGAGCTGGTGCTCCATCCTGCTGAAAGCACATTCGGTTGAGCAAGTCATTATTGACATGTCGCAAAAGGTTGGGCAGATCATTCTGAAGAAATACTAAATAATATTGCGCGTTTAGATTCTGTTCAAAATAATATGAGCCTATGATGTCATTTCCAAGAATACCTGCCCAAACATTAATAGACCATTGTCTTTGAAATTCTTGGGTCCTTTGCCAATAAGGATTTTGATCAGAATAATAATGATAATTATATCTATTAACGCCCCTTCTGTTACTAAACGTGGCTTCATCAGAAAAGAACATATCTGCGATAAAATGTGGATTTCTTCGAATTTGATTTAAGGCCCAGTTACAAAATTGCAAGCGTCGCTCGAAATCCCTCTGTTTTAATTTCTGGGTTAAATGGATATGGTAGGGGTGGAATCTATTTATTTTAAATATACGATTTGCTGTCGATTTCGATATGCCATGTTGTCCCTCGATTTTCTAGTAGAAATTTGGGGATTCAATACAGTGGCACTCAAAACAACCAATGAATTTGCTTCACTTGACCCAGATTTTTGTCGTATCCTTTTTAAACTGCCCTGCTATGCCCTCTCGGTGAATTTTTTTATTGTCTTTCTACACAGATAACGTCTGTTAGGATACCTTTCAGCATACAGCCTTTCCGCTGCACCGTAATTATTTCCAGCCTCACCCAAAATACGAATCATGTCGACTATTTCATTTGGCGGATAATCAGCCATAATTACAGGACTACTAAAAAATTTCGTAACAATGCTCAAAATATTACATTCGCCAAGAAAATATCGATGCTCTTTAACGTGTGTATGGAATATACTTGAGTAATGGGTATACTTGGATAATGAAGTATACTTCAGGTCAAAACGTCAATAGGTTATCATAGTCAAAATTGAACCGAAAGTTCAAAAATCCAAGAAATTGATTTTTTGAATTTTAGGCTGAAAATGACACGTACTTTCGATATTGCCTTGACCTGTCGGATCGTGCTTTCGATCTTGCCTTATAACTTAAAAAGTACTTAACGAAAAGGTATTTAATTATAGGGTTTTGGAAAACTCCCGATGTAAGCTAGAAGAATATGTAATGAAAAGTAGGTAGTTCCATTGAAGAAATTAAAGATGAGCTTTATGTGACCTTCAAGAAACTATTCAATGTCAAACTAATGGCATCATCTTATGCTCTCCTCAAAACCATACAACTTTTGTCTGAAACATTGTTTTCTACAATCAAAAATAAAAAAGTTATTTGGGGTGGGACATTAAAATAGGACACCCTATATTCCTTAATAAAATAGGAAGCATTTCTTAATAAAGTTAAGCTCTTTATAATGTCTTTATAAAGTTATGTTCTGTCTCTCTCTCTCTCTCTCTCTCTCTCTCTCTCTCTCTCTCTTGTCTTCTCCCGCCCTCTACCACTCTCTTTCTCTATCACACTCTTTTTCTTACGAGCTTTCATTTCTATAATATAGGGCGTTATAGTTTCTCAGAAAAACAATTTTTGCTTAATAAAACTGAACAAAAAGAGATATTATCAATATTATATGTAGCTGAAGATATTGTAAATATTATATGCACGAGGTACATCCAAAAAGTAAGAATACAACAATTGTTTAAAATCGAAAAACGAATATATTTTATTGAAATTTACATGGTATGTGCCAAAATATGTTATTATTTCTCCACATAATCGCTGAGGTCAATGCACTTTTGAAGCCTGGGCACCAGCTTTTGTATACCCCGTCGTATACCGTTCGCTTCACCTCCTGAAGCCACTTTGTCACAGTCTGCATGACCTCCTCATCGTTCGAAAAGCGCTATCCACCCAAGAACTCCTTCAATTTATTGAAAAGATGGTAATCCGAGGGTGCCAGGTCAGGGGAGTAGGATGGGTGAGTCACAATGTCCCATCCAAACGATTTTTGCGGTGTTCCGGAGTCAACATTTTTGGTATCCACCGTGCACACAACTTCTTAAACCCAAGTTTTTCAGACACGATTCACCCAGGAGACTTCGTGAAACGTGTGGAAAACTTTCTTTAAGGGCGTCAAGAGTCACACGACGATCATCGCGAACTTTTTCTTCAACCTGCTG